TGTTTTGAGTCTACAAAAAAGCCACTGCTTGTATTTTCTGTTACTTGGAGCCAAACACATACTAATATATGGCTCTTCCAAGTGTCAAAATCACTTGCTTTTTCTAAAAATAAGCTATAATCTTTTTTATGAGAAAGTTTCCATACACAAGACATCTAGCCTGACAGAAATGAAATAATTTCATTTAAAAAATATAAATGACTTATTACTTTGGCCTTTTCTCCATCAAAGATCATTTTGGTAAACTTTCCCTAGTAGTAGTTAAGTAGAGGTAGGAAGTCAGAACTGCTGTATTTCAATGCATATAGCAATACTACCCAAATCAAACCCACTTCCGTCGAGTCGATTCCAATTCACAGCAACCCTATAGGATACAGAACTGTTCCATAGGGTTTCCAAGGCTGTAAATCTTTACGGAAGGAGATTGCCACATCTTTCTCCTGCAGAGCATCTGGTGGGTTCGAACTACTGACCTTTTGGTTAGCAGCTGAGCACTTAACCACCATATCACCAGGGCTTCTCAGTAAAATTACAGCTGCTATAATTATACTATAAACAAATATTACAATACCAAATATAATACTTTCACACTACATAAGTGACTTCCATTCAAATACGAAATAACACTAGTAGAACAGAAAATTATTTTCTTGTATACAAATTCTTAGGTTAAGTTCCTTTAAAATCTAAAATGAACAGATTTAATTATGTTGCAAATACAGTGTGTGTAAACATCATAAAAGGATTATTTATTTGATAATTTATGTTGCCATTTAAGTACTCTCAAACATAAATAATGACTCATGATAACTGAAATTATCCACATTGAATCAAGTAATAATCCCTTAATTCTCTACTTTTGGTTTGGAAGACTACAAGACTAACTTCTGGGCCAGAAATGAGAGTAAGGCCTCCTTTCTCCACCCCTACCACTGAGTATAAACCTTGGAGTTTAAAACAGCCCAATAATCTTTAATCCGTAAACTACAGAATCTGAATTAGAAATTCTAATGTATGAATGAGGTCCAGACTTGGTTTAATTAGCACTATTCTTCCAAAGAGCTTCAAAGTCTTCATATATATTTCCTCATTTAACCTTATAAAACTATGGCATAAATCACTTTATCAATGTGGAAATCAAATTACAAATACGGAACAGTTAGCAATGATGGCGCTAAAACACCACATACATCTACTATATTTTTTAATCTAATAAAATTCAGTACAGTAAATTTTGAATTCAATGTTTTTCCTAAAATTGCAAATTACCTACTCTTATGCTAGAGTATCATAAGTATACTGAGATAAATCAGACTACATAGACTTAACGCTATCTCTAGGCCCTCTGTATTTTCAAATTAGCTTTTCAATAATTTTCTCAGAATGTCTATAAAATAAGACTACGTTTCCATTTTATCCAAGATAAAAATTGGAAGAAAAGTATAACATGTTTTCAATGTCTATTATATACCAGGTTGTATGTATCAGAAATCTTACTTAATCTTCACAGCAACCCTGTAATTTTTTAATCTAATAACAAAATTTACCATAATACACCTTGAATTCCAGTATGTTTCCTAAAATTGTAAGATAATTATTCTTATGCTAAAAATAGCATTATGAGTGCACTACAATAACTTAGACTATGTAGACAAACACTATGTATTGGCTCTTTTTAGTTTCAAAATAGCTTTACAATGATTTTCCCAGGATGTCTATGAAACAAGTCAATGTTTTCATGATAGCCATGAAGAAAATATTTTGGCCACAGCTAGCAATGTAAAATAAACAGTTTTAACATGATCACATCAGTTACTGTGACATATTTACCAGCCATATTGGACTGCCACATGGTCATTTCAATCTACTGGCGGCAAATGATTTTTAAATCAAGCCAATTTTTTTTCCCCAGAGATTACATAATAGCCCATTTGACACTAGTATTTGAAGGTTACCCCTCAGAAAAGTAAAGAGACTTACTTAAGGTCATTAAGTAAATTACCTGACCACCAACTTCCAAAAACTCAGAACTCATATTTGACATAGCTGATAGAAATTCAATATCCAAATCTCCTTTTTAAAATTACAATAATAACTGTAGCTAATATTTATTGACTACCTACTCTATGTCAGACACTGTCTAATGGGATTTACATGTACTAATTCATCCAATTCTCTCAATAGGCCTATGAGATAGATACTATTATCTCGATTTTACAAACAAGGAAACGGAAGTACAGAGACTTGAAATAATTTGCCCAAGGTTACACAGTAAGGAAATGGCAGTACTGGGATTTAAACTCAGGCAGGCTGGGTCCACTTTGTTATACTGCCTTATGAGATTTTGTATTTTATACATGGTAAACAAAACAAACACTATAAGGATATATAACAACATTTATCATCCCTCTCCGAGTCCCACTTTCAAGCAAGAGTTATATCTGAATGTTTTGCGTGTGTCCTCTTCAAAACACAGATGGGTTCCTATTACTGATAAATATTTAGACTTCCATTTTTTGTTATATAAATAATACTATATAAAAGGAGCCCCAGTGGTGCAGTGGTTAACAGCTCGGCTGCTAACCAAAAGGTTGGCAGTTCGAATCCACCAGCCATTCCTTAGAAACCCTAAGGGGCAGTTCTATTCTGTCCTATAGGGTCGCTATGAGTCGGAATCAACTCAATGGCAACAGGTTTGGTTTTTTTTGGTATGTATATACATTATATACGTGAACACACATATTTTCAAACTTGCTTAAATTTATTTGTAAAATAAAATCTTAGCAATGAAACTGCTGTGTCAACAATTATGTACATTTACAATTCTGATGCTGTTATTCTTAGCTGCCATCAGAGCCGGCCCCTGACTCATGATGATCCCATGCACAACGGGAATGAACCACTGTGATCCATACGGTTATCAGAAGTAGATCACCAGGCTTCTTCCTAGTCCGTCTTAGTCTGGAAGCTCTGCTGAAACACGTTCAGCATCACAGCAACACGCAAGCCTCCACTGACAGACAGGTGGTGGTTATGCATTAGGTACACTGGCTGGAAACTGAACTCTGGTCTCCCACATGAAAGATGACAATTCTATCAATGAACCACCAGTGAATGGTCCTGTACAATTTTGATATGTATCGCCAAATTGCCCTACTAAAAGGCTCACCAATTTATATCCCTACCAACAGTGTGAATATTCAAATAGCTTTTACTAAACTTATAATGTACATAATAGGCAAACAGTATGAATTCAATAAATACTGAATGAAGGAACTACTAGCATTCCTTAACTATCTATATATTAAGAAGTATGCAAAGGGACTTTATGATATTATGAACAAAAACATACTGGAAAGAGCACTAATGCCACTATCACAGATAATTGGGGCCAATAGTGTGTGCCTCCATACTTTCTTCCACACCTTCCCCAATGTACAACAATATCCAACTAAATCAAATGAACCTTGCCACTTGCCTAACCTTTAGGTCTTCCAGTTTCTCCTTATTGTTTAAACCATTTCTGTTACTTAGAACAAAAATGTCTTAACTGATACACCAGATGGCCTGGGTGAATTATATAACTTCTTTAAACCTCAATTTTTTCACTGGAAAAATGAGACAAATTTGGAAGTTTAAGGGACTGGATATTAATCCTGGCTCTGACATCCTCCTAGCTGTATGATCTTAAGCAAGTCATTTTACCTCTCTAAAACTTAATTTACTCATCCGTAAAATGGAGACAAATGTGAAGAATATATGAGCTAATACGCGTGGGTATTTTCAGTAATCAATAATACCTTTAACAAAAAAAAAGGGGGGGAGTATTTCTAAGCAAAAAAATTTTATTCAAGCTCCATCTCATAAGGTCTATCATATATTTAGACATCACAAGCGAACCGATATTTTAGTAAAATGTTATTTTAGGATATTTTACCTAATAACCCAGGAGTCAAAATAGACTATTTTGGCTGCTTTGAAGATGACTAAAAAATAATAAACAATGTGAATAGATTAAGACTTATGCTTTGTGGAATTATAGAATGAAGAAATATTGTTATTTTAAAAATTATAGACACTATAAAAGTTCCATGCTAAATAGGTGGAAGAGTCCAAAGATTCTATTTTCTCTTTCTTTTTATTTTCTTTTGAATTGTCATAACCAAACCTCCCTCTGTCTAGCTCAATGCAAGTACGTAGAAAGTAGTCAATATATCCTTTGTGAATGACAATTTCTTTCCTCCATGCACTCATAACCCATCAATACTAGTCAATTTACTGACATTAGGGATATACTGATAATGTTAGAAAAAGCTAACAAAGTGACTCAGCATTACATATTTTCAAACATAAATATTTTTTAACTATATGTTAAAATTTCTACCCTGAAAAAAATTTAAAAGATAAAAGTTTATTTAATAAAGACGCAGTTCCACACCTAACTACTTGATCTGAATGGCAATATGTATTATAAGAACATATTAAAGTCAATGCAACTTATGAATTATAGTTAATAGCCCAACAAGTTGTAGAAATGTGCAATGGAGAGGAAACTATCTAAATCAGCTTTTAAAAACAGGTAGAAATAAAGAAATCATCATTTCAAACAAAAATATTACTGACGTACCTTTGCTGAACTATCAAACTCATATTATCCAAAAATTACAATGTCTCCATCTGTTGATCTGACATGAACAGGCTGATAAATGAAATTAGAAAAACAGTGTATTTTTGCAAAACTAGAAACCTCCTGAAAGCCTAGAAAAATACGTCCACAACAGATGGATCATTTAGAAAATACATATATCAATCTGTCAAACTGCATACTATTCTAATTCTCTAAATTAAAAGCAGTAGGAGCTTAACTTTCCAAGAGTCTGTGACATTAGGAAGGGCAAAGAGGAAAACCCTAAAGATGCACACAAATGTATCTATACGACCCACAGTGTTATACTGTTATGCTTCCTGTTAAACATACTAAGTTTAGGTAAAGTCCTTACCAGTTAACTTCTTCACAGGTTGGAGCCGAACACTGATAGACTGATGTGTGAGTAAGGGGGAGGATGGAAGAGAGCGAGACATGCCCTCCATAATCCGAATGTGCTGCATACCTTCACTCACTGGAAGTGGCGGGACGGCGTAGTCTGGCTCAAAAGCACAGTCGCTTTCTGTGGAGATGCCACCTGTCAGATAAAAAAGACAAAACGAAAGAGCTGGTGAGAAAAGGTAATTCCTTCCCTATTAAAATTTATCTTTTAGGATACTTCAGAATGCCATATACTGATACTGTCACTGTGAAAAGCCAAATAAGGTATTTTTAACATGTATATTCATTTCTATACTTACTGTATACTGTATTCCAGTTCTAACACTAGGAAATTAAAGATGAGTAAAACAAGGTTCTTGCTTGTAAGGGGCTCACTGTCTAATGAGAGATGCAGTCATATAAAGAAATAATTGCAGCACAGTGCAACAAATGTTATACAGTAATGGTTCTCAATTTTTTTCCCTGATAGGACAAACATGAAAAAAGATACTCAACTGCTTGACACACCATCATGTGCAATTTCCCGTAAGACCATTTCTTATCACCTCTAAGAAAGTATGTACAAATGCAAGTAGGTAAGACTAACATTATTATACGGTGATCCTGGCATCTGTTCTAACTTTTTCTAAAAGAGTAAAGAGTAAATTATATGTTGTTCACTTCCACTTTTGGTAACGGCAGATTATGTAATTCAGACCAATTTTTCCCAGAGAAAAACGAGAATTATATATGTTTAAGGTTGGAGAGTTAATAGCATGATGAAGAATTACAAGGAAAAGAGTGAAGTCTGGCACTGGGGCTACTTTTTACTTAGTGGCACCCGAGAAACTAAGAAGCTACTGACGGTTTTACAGGGCTGCGAGTATAAATATTAGTCTATGACTCCACTACGGGGCGGAGGGGTAACTGGTAAAACCCCAACACTTTCGTTTGAGACACCAAAGGGATACACGCTAAAAGTAAGTATGAACTGAAAGCAGATTGGCCCTCACAGGGACTGAAGCCCAGATCCAAGTATCTCCCACAAAATTAAAGTGATCCTGGATTACTAGGGCCTACCAAAAACAAACATAAATCTTCTTTGAGGAAGATAATCTCATCATAGGTCTCAAATTATTTATATAATTTTTCATATACATTATCTGGTCCTTAATTAAAAATAACAAAGAGACAAGATAACATGAACAAAGTAAAACAGAAAAACCATAACCAGAAACAGATACATAGGGGAAATAGGTAATGGAAATATGAGGCACAGAATTTAAAGCTGTATGCTTAATATGTTTAAAAAAAAAGTTTAGAATTTCTGCAGAAAATTGGAATTATGAAATTCAAAACTCAGTAAACCCAAAAAAAACCCAAACTCATTGCCACTGAGTCAATTCCGACTCATAGCGACCCTGTAGGACTGAGCAGAACTGCCCCAGAGGGTTTCCAGGGAGTGGCTGGGGGATTCAAACCGTTGACCTTTTGGTTAGTAGCTGACGCTTAACCACTGTGTCACCAGGGCTCCATAAAAACTCAATAAAAAACCAAACCCCGTGCCGTCGAGCTGATTCCAACTCACAGTGCCTCTACAGGACACAGTACAACTGCCCCATAGAGTTTCCAAGGAGTGCCTGGTGGATTTGAACTGCTGACCTTTTGGTCAGCAGCCGTAGCACTTAACCACTACGCCACCAGTTTCCAAAAACTCAACAGATAGATTTAAAATCAGATTAGTTAAAAATAAAGAGAGAAATGGTAAACTGCAAGATATACCACTAGAAAACATTAAAATAATGCATGGAGAGTAAAAAGAATAGAAAATACAAAAAAAACACAGGGAATATAGTGGTAAGTTTTAACACATGAAAAGTAGAGGTAACAAGAAAGGCGGAGAAGCAATATTTGAAGAGATAATGGCTGAGAATTTTCCAAAATCGATGAAAACACATCAAGCCAGAGATTCAAGAAGCCCTATAAATCCAAAGCAAGATAAATAAAAATAACATTATACCAAGTTACACCATATTAAAACTGTGAACATTAAAGGCAGAGAAACTTGAAAGCAGCCACAGAATTAACACAGATTACATTTTTTTTATTGTGGTGAAAATAGATACAACAAAACATTCACCAGTTCAACAATTTCTACATGTATAATTCAGTGACACTGATTATATTCTTCATATTGTACAACCATTATCGTTATCCTTTTCCAAATTCACAGATTACATTTTAATCAGCTGATTTCTCAACAGAAACTAAAAAAATTAAAAAAAAAATTTTTTCCCATACAAAAATTTATACATACATTGTTATGTGACCCTAACTGCTGTCCCCATACTGTGACAGAACACTCCTCCTTTCCACCCGATTCCCATGTCCATTCAACCAGCTCCTAACCCTGCCTTCCCATCTCAACTCCAGACAGAAGCTGCCCGTTTAGTCTCTTGTATCTACTTGAGCTAAGAGGCACACTCCTCACAAGTAGCACTTTATGTCCCACAGTCCAGTCCAGCCCCTGTCTGAAGAGTTGGCTTTGGAAATTGTTTTAGCTCTGAGCTGATAGAGAATCCAGGGGCCATACTTTCTAGGGTTCCTCCATTCTCAGTTAGACCATTAAGTCCGGTCTTCTTACTAGAATTTGAATTCTGCACCCCACCTTTCTCCTGCTCCATCCGGGACTCTCTTCAACAGAAATAAAAATTTTTACCAGGATATGTCTTAAATGTTCCCTTCTCATTAATCTCCAGGCCCTTTTTTTTTTTTTTTTTTACTATGTTGATTAATCCTTCTCTTCCAACAGTTACATTCTCTCTTTCTGGAACTGTGATCAGAAGAACACTGTATCTTCTAGACCTATTTTCCCAGACTCTTAACTTTCCTCTCATAATAGATTTCTAATCTTTTGGCTTTAATGCATGAACATGAGACTGATTTGCATGGAAGTATAATATTTTATAGGTTTACAAACAAGAGGTGTGCCATTAGCGTAATTCCCTAACTGAGGAATCCTGTTACAGACAAAAATCAGCATTATATCTAGAATCAGCAATATATCTAGCAGTATGCATTTGGTTTAGTAAAGTACCTCTTTTCACTTGAAAGGTTCCAATGTTAAAATTTAACTGATATTTTTAGAATATAATAATACTCCTTAAGGAATAATATTGCAATTAGTTCAGTTTGGCTGTCCTAGTTTACTTTTCTACTTAAAAACATTTCCCCCCATCTTCTCTGTCCTATAAATTGTGCTTGAACTCATTGTAGCTGCAGTGCAAAAACTGTATGTTTCAAGTAAAGAGAAGTACTAGTGAGCATTTACAGAATTTGAATGTGTATTGTCAGTGGTTTACATTTACTTTTAGGCTCCTGGGTCTGCAGATTGATTGTGGGTCAGCGAATTTAGGTTGGGCTTGGGAACCAAAAAAACCAAACCAAACCCACTGCCGTCAAGTTGATTCCAACTCATAGCTACCCTATAGGACAGGGTAGAACTGCCCCGTAGGGTTTCCAAGTCTGTAAATCTTTTTTTCTTTTTTTTTTTTATTGTTGTGCTTTAAGTGAAAGTTCACAATTCAAGTTAGTCTCTCGTACAAAAATTCATGCACACATTGTTATGCAACCCTAATTGCTCTCCCTATACTGTGACAGCACACTCCTCCTTTCCACCCCTGACTTCCCGTGTCCGTTCAACCAGCTCCTGACCCTCTCTGCCTTCTCATCTTGCCTCTGCAAAGGAGCTGCCCATTAGTCTCATGTATCTACTTGAACTAAGAAGTACACTCTTCACCACTATCATTTTATGTCCCATAGTCCAGTCTAATCTTTGTCTGAAGAGTTGGCCTCGGAAATGGTTTTAGTTTTGGGCTAACAGAGAGTCCGGGGGCCATGTCTTCCGGGGTCCTGCCAGTCTCAATCAAACCATTATGTCTGGTCTTTTTACAATAATTTGAGTTCTGCACCCTACTTTTCTCCTGCTCCATCAGGGACCCTCTGTTGTTTACCCTGTCAGGGTAGTCATTGGTGGTAGCCGGACACCGTCCAGTTCTTCTGGTCTCAGGCTGATGAAGTCTCCAGTTTACGTGGCCCTTTCTGTCTCTTGGGCTAATACTTTCCTTGGGTCTTTGGTGTTCTTCATTCTCCTTTGCTCCAGGTGGGGAGGGACCAACTGATGCACCTTAGACGGCCACTCACTAGCTTTAAAGACCTCCGATGCCACTCAGCAAAGTGGAATGCAGAACATTTTCTTAATAAACTTTGTTATGCCAATTAACCTAGATGTCCCCTGAAACCATGGTCCCCAGCCCCTCTCCCCTGCAACTCTGTCCCTCAAAGTGTCTGGTGGTATTCAGGAAACTTCTTAACTTTGGTTTAGTCCAGTTGTGCTGACTTCCCCTGTAGAGTGCGCTGTCCTTCCCTTCAGCTAAGATAATTCTTATCTACTACCTAGTTAGTGAATACCCCTCTCCCTCCTCCCCCCCTCACCCTCATAACCATCAAAGAACATTTTCTTCTGTGTTTAAACCTTTGCTTGAGTTCTTATAACAGTGGTCTTATACAATATTTGTCCTTTTGTGGCTGTCTAAATTCACTCGCATCCCCTAATACCTTCCAGATTCCTCCATGTTATGTTTCACGGATTCACTGTTGTTCTTTACC